CTGGCAGGGACAGATGCCCACGGGGCTGCTGTATGCCCCTCCTGTCCCCCACTGCACCACACCACGACCCACAGCCTGGCCAGTGAGGATGGGGCGGGTCTACACCGAAGCGGTTGGCCCCCTACTGCCTGAGAGCTGGCCTGCATGCCCTGGCACCCTCTGCCCGCCCACGTTAGAGCTGCTCTGGCCCAAAACGAATGTGGGCCTAGCCCAGGCATGCGGGGAGGGGCTGGGGGGGCGGGACAGCTCTTAACCCAAATCATGGCCTGGTGGTTCTGCACAGCCGGTACAGTGGGGTGGCAGTGGAGGGAACATGACTTACTGTGCTTCACTGGGTGTAAAAGCCAAAGCTTGGAACCAGTAGATGGCATAATGGTTGTTGCTGGACTCCCACAGAGTTGACCGCAGTTCAAGTCCCAGACCCAGCAGCTGAAAACTCAGGCCGGGCATGTGTGCACGCGTGCCCAAAATCCTGAGAGGAGAATGGAAGAGAAGGGATTGCAGCATGGCTATGCCCCTGGGTGGTGATGTCTCACTTTCTGTCTCACTGTCTCTCTGTCTCTCTAGCAAGCACACATGCCCCATAGCAAAATTCTCTCTTAAGGAGAAGGAGGGGCCTGCCGGTGGTAGGGTGGTTAAGAGTACTGGATTCCCACATGGCCAAGTGTGGTTTGAGTCCGTACCTGGAGGCTTGCTTTCTCCCTCTCTCTGTCTCTCTCTAGTCAAATTAAAATAATAATAATAACACATGGAATTAAATAAATAGATAGTTCTTTATCTGGCCAGCTGCAGTGGTGCATCCTAGTATGCTGCTGTGCCCTGCAGGTCCGGACCCATGGGAGGCCCAGGTTTGAATCCCAGTTCAGCTGTAAGGTTGTGAGTGGAGCTGCGTGTCTGTAATCCCAGCACCTCAGGAGGCCAAGGTGAGAGGATTGTGAGCCCACGGCTGGCCTGGCAGCCTGGCAGGACCTTGCCTAAGAAAGAGCCACCTGTGGTCCCAGCTGGGGGACTGAGGCAGGAGGATTGTGACAGCAAGACCTTGTCTTTTTTTTCATATTTTAAGATTGTTTGCCATAGGGCATGTGCTTTCACTGGAGAGAGAAGATAACGGGAAGGAAAGTGAGGAATCACCCTCCCGGGGGATGATCACACTGCGATCTCTCCTCCATTCTCCTCCTGGGAATTTGGGCACGCACACACATGCACCCACGTGTGATGTTTAAGCCACCGAGTCTGGAACTCAAACCACGTTTGGCCGTGTGGGAGTCCAGCACTTACACCACGCCACCTCCGGCCCCAAGACCCTGACTTACAGGGAGAAGGAAAGAGTAGCAGGGTTCCTGCCCTAGGACCCATGTCTGTGTAAGTAAACCAGCAGAAGCCAGCTGGCCCCGTGGGTGTCTTTGTCGATAGAACCTTGGTGCTGACCCAGGGGCTGAGAACAAGGCAGCTCTACTGAAAAGAAAATGGGCCACTTGGGGAGGTGCTTGGGACACTGCACGGAAGGGTGAAGGCAGGAGTGGCCGAGCCGTCCAGACGGCTTCACTGTGGGGCAGGGCCCGCCTGTGACAAAGGGACAAAGGCCTCACTGGGGAGGCTGCCATTTCCAAACCAGACGCTGGCTCACATGCTTTCTGAAGTTGCTTTTCTGCTTTTCTGTTGTTGTTTTAGTTTTGCTATAGGGCTTGTGTGCTCTCCGGAGAGAGACACACAGAGAGAGGGGGGAAGCGAGAAATCACTTCCCAGGGCGGATGGCCACAACACAGTCCCTCTCTATCCTCCTCTCAGGACTTTGGGCACACCCACACATGCCTGGCATGTTTTTCAAGTCGCTGGGTCTGAGACTCAAACCAGCCACCCAGCCACGTGGGACTAGCCGCCTTACCCCCATGCCACTTGCTGGCCCGATGGAGTTGCTTCTGTAGGAAATCACAAATAAGCATTCATTTTTATTTAAAATAAGAAAAACTACAGAAGCCCGAGGACTGTCACCTGCCCTGTGCGTAACCTGGTCTTGGGTCTTCGCTGGGGCCTGGAGACCTGGACACAGGACCTTTTGTTCCCAGGAACTCCAGCCCAGTCCTCCCCTCTCCGTTCCCCTGGGAGGAGCCGAATGAAAAGCAGGGCCTCTCCCTGGCCTCGGACAGGACTGCCCGGCCACGTGCCATCACTTATCCGGCTCTCTGTCCCTTCTCTCCGCAGGTGAAGAGTCTCAGTTTGAGATGGACATTTAGGGGACCAGCCATCGGACTGAGCTGTGCTTGGGCCCCTCCGGCCTTTTTGGGAGAAGGGCCTCTCCAGCCAGATGTCGAGTGGGCCGGCTCCAGCCTCTGCTCCCTCACTCAGGGCCCTCTCCCCTTCCCCCTGGAACACAGCACCTACTCCTGTGCCTGGGCCGGCTGCCACCCCCAGTGCAGCAGCGAGTGGACTGGGGGGCCCTTCTTCCCACCCCTGCTGTGGGAGCACAGCCACCCCTCTCACCGCGGATGTGCCTGGGAAAGCTCCCACCCCTTCCTTCCCGGAGAGGAATAAAAGCCACCTACACCCTCGGTGAGAGCTGGGCCCTGTCTGAGACTTTCCAGTGCACGGAGAGCTGACCGGCCAGCTGCTCTGCACTGCCTCCCAACACCGGCACCATCTGCGGCCCTCGCGCTAGGTCTCCCTGGCCGGCGGTGCAGACCCAGCAGGCTCTGTTCCCAGCTGAGACTGCCCTGCAGGGACTGGCCCAGGGCTGGCATGGGCCCTGCTGCTCCACCCGGCAGGTGCCGGCTCTTCCTGGCTTCTCCCCACCCCAGGCCTGTGTTGGGTTCGGATCACCTTCCCCCTTCCCCTGGGCCCATTTCCTGCGAAGGCAGAGGGAAGGGCTGTGTCTGGGCCAGTGTGAGGTCTCCAGGCCTCGCTCATGGCTCTTTGTCATGGGATCCCATGACACCACCCTGAGAGAGCTCCCTGCCTTGGGGGCCTGGTGGGGACGTAAGAGCCGTCCAAGAGGAATGGCGGCGGGACAAGAGGGGGCAGTCCTGGGGACGGCTGGTGGTGGGCGCTGGGTGCCCGCAGCAGGCGCTCCGAGGAAAGTTGAGGCCATTGGATGAGAAAGGTTGACAGGCCTGGGAGGGGGAGAGAGGAGGGGAAGGGAAGTTTCTGGTCCAGGTGACCCAGGAGAAGTCAGCAAGGAATTACAGAGTGAAAAGCATGGAGGCTGTATCCGGAACCCTGGGACTGTCCCCTTAGAGAGGAGAGGGGCAGGGAGAGCTGACCTGGTGGCTCTCTCTCCACGGCACTGCCGTGGGCTCCTCTGCCTCCCAGGGAGCCATACGAGGGAGGCCATCTTTTTCTCAACATCCTTCCAGGTGACCTTTACCCAGCCAACTCGGGAAGGGCCCAGCATGGGTGGCCAACCCAACAGTCCCAGGTCTTGTCGCCTGACAGCCCATGCTCGGGAAGAAGGGTTCACCCACAGGCTCGGTCTTGTCTGGCTAAATCCAGTCTCACTCTGATTTAATTAGCATTTACTGAGTGTCTCATCCCTGCCGGCGGCCGGCGCGATACTGGATAGGCACACAGTAGGGCAGACACGGGGCAAGTTAAGTAATTAAGGAGACTTGATGGGTGCAAGTTTCTGGCATGTTGACGGACAGATGAGCAGTTCTGGCCCGTCAGCCTGTGGAAAGCTTAGGCTGCAGAGGTCCTCACCTGGACAAAGCCGTGGTGAGCACCGATGTGGGGGGTGAGGGCGTTAGGGCATTAGTCTGCGGTGTGTTGGGGGACATGGTAAGTTTCGACAGAATGGGACCAGACTGCTGGAATTAAAAAAAAAAAAAAAAGGTCTTCTGTGTATCTGGAGTTTGACCACCATCTTATTTACAAGCTCTAGTTCATGCGGGGGGTATTTGGAGTCTTGTTTTACACCTGTCCGTGGCCATCAGAATTGATTCCAGCTCCTGTCTGTCCAGCTCTGCCATGGTCTGGACACCCCATGAACATTTATGCACTGGGATTCTGTTCTGAAGGGATTAAGACAGTGGGAAGAATCTGATTATGATATCGAAAGGTGGATGCAGGCCCTCAGGGTGGGGCCGTGACAGTCCTGCCGGTCTTACAAGGAGTGAGGTCACCTGGGCACAGGTGCATGTCCTGCCCTCCCATGTCCTGGCCCCTGGCCCCTGGCCCTATGAGCTGAATGAACCTCTGAAAATTACCTGACCCGGGTTCTGCATTAGTAACAGCGGACCAGGACAAGTTCCACGGCCATGCCTTGATGCCACACAGCGTGCAGGGCTGGGTCTGGGCTCAGACTCAGCTGTGGGCAACGGGGATGTGGGGCCTTTAGACCAAGCAGAGGCGGGTCGGTGTGGTGATAGGTGCAGGAGGGACTAGAGCAGAAGGGGTCCCAATGTTTGGTGGCATCGGGGTTGGAGGTGTGGGTGGGGACAGAGGGGTTGGTACCCTCTTCTCACTTGTCCCAGGGCTGTTTATCAGTGCCTGCTGCGTGGGAGGCACTGTTTGAAGCAGCAGGGGACGAGCAGTGGGCAGCATGGCCCTGCCTGCCAGGGCTGGCCTGCGGTGGAAGCAGCACATCTGGCAGCTGCTACATGTGCTGTTTTGCGCACTGAGGCGGCACCACCAATAAGGTGGGGAGCTGAGCGTGGGAGACGCCTGCCCTTGCTGTGGAATGCTAGCATCCCAGAGACAGTGACTGCAACAACAGACACCCCGGGTTCCATAACAGAGCAAACCCTCCTTTTCAGTCTGCAGGACGTTCAGAACATGAAAAGGTAAGGAGCCTTCTTGCAGGCTAGTTAGAAAAGTAACCTCCCCCAACACACACAGATTAGGTTTCCTAGACTTTCATGCACTCCATAGAGTATGATGACCTGCAGGAAGGAGGTCCCATGGGCCACAAACAGCAAAGGACGGCGAGTCCCTCCTTCAACTAGAGCTGAGAGGCCACAGCTTAGGAAGCTGCGGGTTTAGGTTTAATTTGCTAAAGGGCAGGCAGGAGGGCTGCAGTGAGAAAGCCCCCTCCTGGGGGTTGGTCAAGGCACAATGCCTTCTCATTCCCCCTTTCAGGATTTTGGGCACACGCATCCGGCATGTTTCTCAAGCCACAGGTCCAGGACTCAAACCATGCAGTCGGCCCCGCGGGTTCCAGCCACCTTAAACACCACGCCAGGGCCGGCCCAGGAACGTTTTAAAGGCGAGCCTTTGGTGTGCCCGTGCTTGTCCTCGGTGCTGGAAAGGAAAGGTGTCCGGTTTCCAGACACAACGTTCGCGCGTGCTGCCCCCTGCCGGAAGCGCTCGTTACAGCCGGGAAGCGCCTTCCTCTGGGAAGTGGTCGTTCCCGCCGCAGATGGAGACCGGCCCCGGATGGATTCAAGACCCAAGCACGCGCTATCTCGAGATTATGCAACTAGGCGCCCATGCTCCGAAGGAAATAGGAGAATCTTCCAGACAGTGACCGAGGTCGTGTTGTGGGGCAGAGCCAGGGGGACCGCAGAAAGCTCTGGCTGCCAGAGCCAGGCCCGTTGGGCCAGCTTCTCCATTGGAACCCTGCTCCCTCCAACCAAAGGCACGCGCGGCCGGGCTGCCCCGGCCCTGCCCTCCCCGCTCGTGCCAGCAGTGGCCCGTTGGTTTACCGCCAGGGGCCGTGCTAGGAACCAAGCTGACCCTGGCTCCCCTCTTCCAAAGGGCTTCCCCCAGCAGGCTGAACTGAAACCTTGTCCTGGCCATCCCACCCTCACCCCAGAGTAGGAACTCCCTTCCAGGAGTCAGAGCTGCGAACTGTTAACTTCCTTATAGGCACTGCGGGACAGGTTCCAGTTTGCACCGGGATGTTGGGTAGCAATGTGGGTGTCACTCCAACAAATCCCTCCTCCCCCGCCAGCTCTTAGGACCAGAACAGATCCTGGCTCTCCCACGACCCCTTCCGGCCTCTCGTAGCTCAGACACCGCATCGCGCTGCAGCGTGGACTCTGGGATCCAAGCACAGGGGGCCTCTCTAGGTGCCATTTGGGGACGTGTTCAAAGGAGCAATCCCGACCTCGGGACAGTAAAGCGGGTCCCTCTGTGCGGGCGGTGAGCAAGGCGCGCCCCGCATGTGAGCGGCAGGACAGCGGCGGGTCTGCAGCGCGCCAGCCCTCGCCCGCGTCCGGGCTTCCAGCCTCGCGCTAGAAAACGCTCGGCGACCAGCGGGCGGCGGAACTCCGGCCGGGAAGCCCGCCGCCCCGCCCCGCCTCCCCCGCCC